GAGTGTTGTTCGGTAGCACCTGAGCGGCAGCAAAAAGTGCATCCCCGTCAGTGATAACCTGTCCTAGGGTGGGCCCCGACAATAGTGCTGAAATGGTTTAATGAGCTCGTGAATGGTAGTTTTCGGTGAGCACGTTGGGGCATGGGGAGGGAGCATAGAGAGCACCGCCGCCTCGAATGCTCAAGCACGCCCCTCCCGTGTCGCCGATCGCAGCCTGACCTTTTTTCTGTGTTTCCCTGCTCCCGTCTCCTTGTCCCTCCTGAGCGTTCTTGAGCCAGCCAGCCCAGCAGTCCAGTCCATTTGAAGCATTCGAGTTTCAGTTTCAGGAGAAGTGGAGATTTGGAGGCCCCTGCATCAGATACAGGGGCCAGGCTAGACACACGTGCAAGAAGAGTGTTGTTTGGTAACACCTGAGCGGCAGCAAAAAGTGCATCCCCGTCAGTGATAATCTGTCCTAGGGTGGGCCCCGACAGCAGTGCTGAAAAAATCAAAAAATAGTCCCCAGACTATTTTTGGACTATATTTGTTCTTGGTTTTTTGGGGGTATCTTTATTTTTCGTCGAAAATCCCCCTGTAGGGGGACAGGCCCGACATGCAATTTGCTGCATGCAGCCAGTTTCGGCCGCACCGAGGGGCCCTTTCCTTGATGCGTGGCCACCTCCCAGCGCCAGGAGGCTCCGGGAGAATCCGCCACGCGAGCTGCTTCTCAAGCCCCCCCCGTTTGCTATCCCACCCGTTGCGCCCGGCCCGAGCGCCGCGGCCGGCGGAACTCGGAGGAGGGCGGGGCGAGACGTGCTCGCGTCGTGGTCCGCAAAACGTACGACGGACGGGTTCCCAGGGGGGGATTTGAGATGGCCCAACAATAATCAAAAAATATGCCAAAAATAATCCAGGGACCATTTGTTTGTTTATTTGTTTGACCTTTTTGGGGTATTGTTGGTGTATTTTTCCCCAAACAGCTTGCCGAACGGGGTGCTGTTGTGATAGAAACTAACTCTGGCCGAGGGAACGCGGAGCAGTTCCCAGGGATGCAGCTGCTCCAAGCTGTCCGGTGCGTGGGCCGTGGAGGTCTCGGGCCGAACGAAAGGGGGGATTGGGGAAAGGGGGGTTACGAAATCTGCTGCATGCAGCCGGTTTCGGCCCCACCGAGGGGCCCTTTCCTCGATGCATGGCCGCCTCTGGCGCCGAGAGGCGCCGGGAAAATCAGCTACGTGAGCTGATTCTCAACCCCCCCCTTTGCTATCCCCCCCTTTCGCCCGGCCCGAAGGTCCGGACCACTTCTCCAGGGCCGGTTTTTCGTCCTGAGTCGTTTCTTGACGCTCTCGAGGCCCGGCGAGGGCCCCCGGAGGCCGAAACCTGCCAAGCTCCAGCCGCTCCAATTTTTTGGGGAGCGTCGGAGCTAAGGGCGTTGACTCAACTTTCGACATCCAGGGGCACTTGCCGGGCCGAAGGGCCGTCAAAGAACGGCTCGGGAAGGAGAGCCCGCCCCATGGAGGAGGGGTCGGGGCTCCTGCAGGGGCCCAGGGACCCCGTGTCATGTAAAATCAAGGCAGCCCTCCTCCTCCTCCTCCTCCTCCTCCTCCTCCTCCTCCTCCTCCTCCTCCTCCCCCTCCTCCTCGTCCTCCTCTTCCTTCTCCTTTTCTCCTCCTCCTCCTCCTCCTCCTGCCCCTCCTCCTCCTCCTCCTCCTCCTCCTCCTCCTCCTCCTTCAGGGGGGGGGGGGCCCTTGGTCGCCACGGCGGGGCGCAGCCCGGAGGACGCGTGCGCTTGGGCCCCAGGGAGGGGGCCCGGGAGGCCGATCTGGAGAGCTGCCGCTGTCGGAACCCGCCCCGCTCCGAGAAGCGGGGAAGGCGGGGAGGAGGCGAAAGAATGGACGTAATGGAGGATGGCGATTAATAAATGACCGGGGGTCGTGTTCACGCGGCGGCGCCCGGGATGGCGATTAGAAAACACCTGCCGCGGGTTGGAAAACTGTGCTTTGAATCGTTCTCCTCCAGTCAGAAAACTGTGCAGAAATCGCGGAAAACTATTTGTTTAATCGTTATCTTCCCCGTTTCTCGGAGCGGGGAAGGCGGGGGGGAGGCGAAAGAGTGGACGCATGGCATGAATGAGTGAGTGCCCTTCGTCACGAAGGGCACTCATGCATTCATGACATACGAAGGGCCTTGGTGTGTACGGGCCTGCTGTCGGTTCAGATGCTGGTTGCTGGATATGCTGGCCCCAGGACTGAGCAGCAGTGAGTGGTAAAACCCTTCATCGCTGTCATCCTTTCTCTACCTGCGGATCCCCTTCGGAATGACGGTTCGGCCCTTTGGCTCCTTCCCTCCATTCGCACTTCGGGGTCCATGCCATGAACACTGAGCTGCCTCGGGATATGCACGCGCTACGCACGCGCACGAGATGCCGCCTGGACGACGATGTGGATCAAGCCGGTTGAAGTTCGGTTTCCTAGATCAGTGGCGCGGCAATGGGTATTCATCAGCGGGCATTTTGAACACTCACCGAAAAGTGCCCTTGCAGGGCCTCTTTCGGACATTCCAACACTTTCCGCATGGGTCCGCATGGGGAAGATTTGGGTTCGCTGGGTCTCTGGCCAAAGTACCCGTCAGTGGAGTCCCGGGGCGGCGGTGACAAAGACCCACACCTTCAGGGCCCACCGGCCCAGCTCTCCGGCGCCTCCCAATAAGCCTGCGGGACACAAGGGGGCAAAGCAGGGCAGAGGGCGAAGCATGGCAGAGGGGCCACTCCGTGCCTCCTGGCGCCTGCTTGGGCGAATGACCTGTGGGAGTGCCAGCGTTGGTGCCTTTCGGCATCCATCGGCGCACGGCCGATCACTTAAACCATGACTCCGCACATGACACGGCATGGCGCAACGTAGCTGCGACCATTTTGATGCGTGTGTGGAATGGGCGCAGGAATCTGCAGTCCACAACAGTTTGTCTTGCATCTTGCTGCAAGCTGTCCGCCTAGTCCCGACCTTGCGCGGAGGGGAGGGCAGAATCACGCTGATCATTGGATGCCTGGGGGGGAGGAAGCGTTCGCCACGATCCCAGGGGAACGAACACGACCTGGAGATCTGGAGGGTTCCAACGGGGGCCAAGGGGCGAAGGAGGGCGCGCTCCCCAGGGCCGTCGATGGCCGCCAAGCCGCGGGCATACCTATCCGCGCTCCGTCGCTCAGCTTCGCGGGCTGGCGGCCCACCCTGCGGCGAGGATGGGCTCTGGGCCGCTGCCTCGTCAGTGCCCTCTCCTCCTACTCCTCCTCCTGTTCCTCCTCTTCTCCTCCTCCTCCTCCCCCTCCTCCTCCTCCTCCTCCTCCTCCTCCTCCTCCTCCTCCTCCTCCTCCTCTTGGACCCCCCGTCTCCTGGCAGTTCCCCCCCGCTCCCCCCGACATTCGACGCCGTGGGTTTTCCAGTGCGGGGCCTCTTCTGAAGTCTTGCGACCAGTCCCCCCGGCCCTGCTTTTCCTTCCGAGCGTTTTTTGTTTGCGCCGGCCCCGGGGCCCGGCGAGGCGCCCGGAGGCTGAAGACGGCCCAACATTTCCCGTCGTGTCAGTTTGTTTTGCCACGCGAGTGTTCGGAGGCGGCGCAACCGACCCCTAGCAAAGCATCCCCGTCCGTGACGTCCCCCTCGCCGCGCCTCAAGACTGACGTCGGGCCTGTCCCTCTACAGGGGGAATATTCAACAGAAGTCAAAAAATAGTCAGGGGGCTATGTTTTGAATACTGTTTGGCATCTTTTGAATATTGTTTGACTATTTTTTGTTCGTCCATAATCCCCCTTGTAGGGGGACAGGCCCGAGCTAACCCAAGACATATGTGTGCGGCCGGCGGGGAGGTTGAGAGGCGACAGCGACGCCAAGGCAGGGGATGGTGTGTTGGGAGTCGGTTAGGCCGCGCCCGAAGCATGTTTGGGCCTCCCCCCTCGCCCCTCTCCCCCTTCCTCGCAGGCGAGCTCTTGTTGCCAACCCCAGGCCTTTTCACAAAAAATCCGACCGCTCAGAAAAGAAGGGGGATTCGGGTATACACACCAGAGGGGGCTATCCAGACGCACCCCATATCGAGGATGGGCGCCCCCCTAACGTATATCCCCGAGGCGCCCCCAGTGTTCTGGCCCATCCGAAAATCGCACGAAGTCAGGCATGGGAGGTCAACGTATGGTTCCCCAATCAGAGCTTGCCTCTGGCAGGGGCCCAAGCGGATTCATGATTATGGTTAGGTGAGGTTCGCCGCCGATTTCGGTGGCCGGCCCGGATGCACGGGTGCCTGGGGTTGCCCGAAGGTGCCGGGGTGCCCAGTAGCCCTATAGCCTTATAGCCATATAGCCTTATAGCCCTATAGACCTGCAGTCCTAATAGCCCTGTTGCCTTATAGCCGAAGTGCCCTATAGCCCTATAGCCCTGTTGTCTTATAGCCCTATAGCCCTATTCCCCGATAGCCCTATAGCCCCATAATTAGCCCTATAGCCCTATAGCCCTGAAAAGATTATGATTGGGGCTTGTCTCCGGTATCATTTTTTTGTTGGTTAGCGTATTGATCCGCTGGTTCTGGCCCACCAAGCTTCTGCGCGACATGCTATCCACGTCCCACAGGCGTCCACGTCGCGAGCTTTTTCCAGCCTCCCGCCCCGAGGAGCAGAGCGACACGCTATCCGCTCCTAGGACATAGCGTGTCGCCTGGGCCGTCGTGGCGAAACGCTGAGCAAACTTCCCCAGCCTCTGTTGCATCGTCTCCAGCGGTCGCGAGGCGCTTCTGACTTCGTACGCGGTGGATTTCTTCCAGCTGGTGCCAGCAGATGAGATGGCAGTGTGCCGTGACGGGCAGGTGGGCCAGGAGGTCCCCGCAGCGCCGAGACCGATCAGCGCTCGCTGTGTAACGATGCCATCGAGGAGGGGCTCCTTGACATGGAGTCGGCCAGGGGCTGAGGTGGCCCGTCGAAGGCCCTTCTGTCAGGGCCCCTCTCGTTTCCATGGGCATGGCTCTTGCTCGTGCCTCCCGCTTCCGAGGCTTTTCGGCTATTCGCGAAGCAGATGGAGCTCCTCGCCAGCGCGGGCCAGTTGGACTCAGGCGGCAGAGGGCGGCGATGAGTCAGAGGGGGCGGGTGAGGTGGATAGGAGCCCAATTTTCTCCACGCCGACGCCGCCGATGCATCGTCGATACATCGGGTGAGGCGGATAGGGATCGAGGAAGAAGCAATTGCATCAATTGCATTGGCACCCACTGGTGGCGCCTCCAGCGCCGCTTCGCGCGCCAGAGAGAAGGGTCCAGCGCAGAGCCACGGAATCCACGCGGACCTCCGAAAGTTTGTTGCACACGTCTACAACTATATACGTTTATATAACCCTATATACACATACATACACACATATGTGTGAACGTATGTGCGTACGTGCGTGCGTGCGTGCGTTCGTGCGTGCATGCGTGCGTGCGTGCGTGCGCGCGCGTGCGTGGGTGTGGGTCTGTGTGTGTGCATGCGTGCGTGCGAGCGTGGGTGCGTGGGTGCGTGCGCGCGTGCGTGCGTGCCGGCATGCAGGAGTTGGCTCGCATGGCAGGGGCGGCGGTGCGGGGGGGGTCGCGAGGGCGGGGCGCCCCGCGCCGCGCCCCCTTCGGCTTGCGTCGCCGCGCCCTATCACGAAAAAGTAACATTTCGCAGGGGCACGCCGCGCCGTCCATTTGGCCTCGCCGCGCCGTGCAGGAGTAGGCCAGCAGTTGAGGGAACGCGCCGCGCCCTCCTCCGCCTGCTTCGTCGGGCGTATTATATATTAAGACACAATCGGCGCAGGAGGGGCAAGCGCGCCGCGCCCCCTCGCTTGCCCCGCCGCGACCTAACAGGAACACGGCCAGAAGCGCAGGCGGGCACGCCTCGCCCTTCCCCCGCCTGCTTCGTCGCGACCTGCCATTCACGCGCCAGCGTTGCAGGGGGGCGCGCCGCGCCCCCTCTTCTGTCCCGCCGGCATCAGCAGGGACAAGGGGGCGCGCCGCGTTCCCTTCTGCTCCGCCGCGCTCCATGGCAAGAGGAGACCAGCACTGCGGGAAGGCACGCCGCGCCACGCTCCGCCTGCTCCGTCGCGCCCCACCACTCATATGCTAGCATCGCTGGGGGGCGCGCCGCGTCCTCTTCTTTTGCTTCGCCGCGTCCAAACCAGAGCGGGCCAGCTTGGCAGGGGGGCGCGCCGCGCCCCCGCCCCCCCCCCCCGCCTTCTCTGCAGCGCCGCGCGATGAGCAACGCAGCAGTGTCGGAAGCGCGCCGCGCCCCCTCTTCGGCCAGCGCCAGAATTGCAGGGGGCGCGCCGCGCCGCCCCCCCCCCGCCCCCCGCCTGCTTCGCAGCGCTTCTTTTACCATTGGTAATCCAGCATGGCGGCAAGAGCGCGCCGCGCCTTTTCTTCTGCCCCTGGCGCATCCTTGCAAGGGTAGGCTAGCGTCGCAGGGGGGCGCGCCGAGCCCCCGCCCGCCTGCGTCGTCGCGCCCCACCATTGAGAATTCAGCATTGCAGAGAGGCTCGCCGTGCTTTTCCTTCTCCCTCTACGTTGTCGCGTCCTACAAGTGACTTTGCAGACGGGGCCCCTGCGCCCCCTCTTTTGCCTTGCCGCGTCCTAGCAGGACTAAGCCTGCAATGGAGGGTGGGGCGCGCCGCGCCCCCCTCGGCCTGCTTCGCCGCGCCTGCGAATGCCCCCATGGTGGCCTGGAAACGAATTCGAACCTGTAGACGGTGACCGATTTGATTTCCAAATTCACGTGAACACCCGCGCGTCTATTTCTATCGCGGAGAATATTTGGCGCTGCGCGCGCGTCGCTGCGCGCGAGCCTCCGCGTGGGGGGGGGGTCTTGTTTCGCTCGCAATCGGAAATTCGCAACGGTGGCCAGCAGCTAGAAGCGAAGCCGTAGCGGCGCCCGGTTGAGTTTTTTCTCAGTGTCCACGGCGTCTGGTGCATATTTTCTGTCATGGGCAATTGAAGACTCTCCATGCGGGCCCGGTAACGAAAGTTATTTTTCAGCGAGCAGCGACCGGATTTCCAGGTTAACATTGTTCATGGTGAATGTTGCGCGACGGTGCGAAGCTCTCCACGGACGTGCCTGGGGGGGCCCGTGTTGTCCTCGCTTGAAACAGTAACCATGTTGGCATGGGGGATACGCTGCGCCCTTAGCGGTGGCCGGTAGAGTTTCAAGCAGACATGGTTTCTGGCGTCGTTTTTGGCGCGCGCGAAGGCGGCCCGTAGTGTTCACATTTGACAGGTTGTTGCGTGGGTTTGGGATCCAACGGTGTCTCTCAGCGGTGGCCGATTGCATTACCATGTTCACATGTGTTTTCGCACGACGACCAAGACGCGCGCACGCGCGTGCGAGTGGAGAGTTCCGTAGCGCTCACATTCGAACAGTCGTCATATTGGCCTTGAACTTCAAGCGACCCCTCAGCAGTCACCGACTATATTCCGAAGTTTACATGTGGCTTCACGGGTAAAGCATGTGCCGCACCGCAAGACGCGCGCGGGATGGTGTTGAGTTCAATAGCGCTCACATCCGGAACATCGGCATGCTCTGGCCTGGAAGCCCGGAAACTGAAGTGAACCCTCAGCGGTCACTGATTGGAATTTCAAGTTCGCACCCGTTTCCACATGTCAACATGACGGTGGGTGCAGCGCTCGGCGCGTGCTGGTAGCGCTCGCATCAGAAAAGCTGCCACGTTGGCCTGGAAGCTAAACGGATTCTGTAGCGGTGATCGACTGATAATCAGAGGTCGCGTATTGTTTTTTTTTTTTTGCGCAAGCCTGGCGGTGCACCACGCGACGCGCGCGGGTGGCCAGCTGCGGCGTGCTCCCATGAGAAACGTCGCCATGTGGGCGGGAGAAAAGGAGGGGAAAAGGGGAGGGCAGACGGTGGGAGCGCGGGAGGGAGGCGAGGGGATGGAGGAGGAAGGGGGGGGAGGACGACGAGGAGGGAGGGGGAGAACGAAGAGGAGGAGGAGGAGGAGGAGGAGGAGGAGGAGGAAGGAAGAGGAGGGAGGAGGAGGAGGAGGAGGATGGAGGAGAGGATGGAGGAGGAAGAGGGGGAGGGAGGAGGGCGGAGGAGGAGGAGGAGGAAGAGGAGGGAGGAGGAAGAGGAGGAGGAGGAGGGAGGAGGAGGAGGAGAGAGGAGGAGGAGGAGGAGGAGGAGGAGGAGGAGGTGCGGAGGAGGAGCCAGTGGCGGCCACGTCGTCGTCGGCGTCGGGGTCGTCGCCGAGCTTTCTGGCCCGCTATTATGGGAGCCGCGGGGCCGCTACTATGCTTCAAACCGCCAGCCCAACATTATATTCTGAACCGCTTGCCTCCATAATACATCCATCTGTCGCGTCGCCTTGCTGGGATGGCGACCTGGCCGATGCGAACGAAGTAGCGATGTTGATGTTATTGATGATGATGCTGATGATGATGGTGATGATGACGAGGAGGAGGAGGAGGAGGAGGAGGAGGAGGAGCAGGTCGAGGACGAGTGGGCGCAGGAGGACCAGCAGCAGCAGCGGGAGGACGATGGGGATGGGACAGGTGATGGGATGATGATGAGGAGGAGGGGGAGGAGGAGGAAGAGGAGGAGGGGGAGGAGGAGGAGGAGGAGGAATGTGAGGAGGAGGAGAAGGAGGCGGAGGAGGAGGAGGAGGAGGAGGGGGAGGAGGAGGAGGAGGAGGAGGAGGGGGAGGAGGAGGAGGAGGCAGAGGATGAAGAGGAGCCTGTAGCCTTCGGCCCGTCGAGCGACATGTCCTCTCTCGCCCTCCCGCCGCGGCGTCCATGCGCGACGCCCGCCACGCGGCTGGGATCGCCCGCGACAAGCGCCGATGGGAACTACAGCCATCAGGAGGGCCGCGCCCCGGCGCGAAACCGCTGCGCGCCGCAGCGCGGCGAACGGCCTACGCGGCTCGGGTACACCTGCCATATTCGCAACCATTTAACAGAGAACACGGTATCAGCAGTGATGATACCAGAACGTGGTAGTAAGTTTCATAGTGGTAGTATTCGGTAGTATTAGTAGTATTAGTAGTATGAGTAGTAGTAGTAGTAGTAGTAGTAGTAGTAGTAGCAGCAGCAGTAGTAGTAGTAGTAGTAGTAATAGTCGCAGTCGTAGTAGTAGTCGCAGTCGTAGTAGTAGTAGTAGTAGTGGTAGCAGCAGTAGCAGTAGTAGTAGTACTAGTAGTACTAGTACTGGTACTAATACTAGTACGAGTACTAGTACTAGTCGTAGTAGTCGTATTCTTATTATTATTAGTAGTAGTAGTACTAGTACTAGTACTAGAACGAGTACGAGTACTAGTAGTAGCAGCAGTAGTAGTAGTAGGTAGTAGTAGTAGTAGTAGTAGTAGTAGTAGTAGTAGTAGTAGTAGTAGTAGTAGTAGTAGTAGTAGTAGTAGTAGTAGTAGTAGTAGTAGTAGAGTAGTAGTAGTAGTAGTAGTAGTAGTAGTAGTAGTAGTAGTAGTAGTAGTAGTAGTAGTAGTAGTAGTAGTAGTAGTAGTAGTAGTAGTAGTAGTAGTAGTCGTAGTAGTAGTCGTAGTAGTAGTGGTCGTCGTAGTAGTAGTAGAAATAGTAGTAGTCGTAGTCGTAGTCGTAGTAGTAGTAGTAGTAGTAGTAGCAATAGCAGTAGCAGTAGTAGTAGTAGTAGTAGTAGTAGTAGTAGTAGCATTTGTAGTAGCATTTGTACTCTTAGTA